TAAATGTTGAAGAATTTTCGTGTTTTCAGGACAAAACGGGTGAGTATAACATTGCTTCGTTAGCACCATTTGATTCGTACCCGTCGAATAATCGTCTGAGATGTATAATAATATAATGAATTTTGCACTATTTCCATAAAGCTTTATGAATGTAAAAATAGAATTATCTTTCAATTTTTGATAATAAAAATTCATAAAAACGGTTTTCATCCAAAATATACTGTAACTCTCAGCGGGAAATCAACCATTGTGCAAGAATTTCTGAAAAAATTGGTAAACGATGGCGAGCTACAAACGATGAAAAAATTAGAAACGGAATGGAAGGATTACAAAACCTCTCTCGGTATAATTTTCCGCATGTCATACCTAAGTGTTTCCGGAAAATTATTCTATTCCATGCTTTCATTTCAATTTAAAGTTAAAAATAGAACGGTATATTTTATTAAGACAATAAAACAACTGCTTAATAATTTTTGCTGAGTTTACAGGAAAACATTACAATCAAAGTGAAAATAACATGAGAATGGCAATATTTGAAAGTAACGAATTAACGACAGAAAAGATGAATAGAGAGTATGACGAAGGCTTAGTTTCTTATAAAACCGCGTTGAATGATTTATCTGATTTGGTAAGTAAAATTAACAGTTAGATTAATTCAATGAGATGCTAATATCTGATATATTTCGGTATTGCTGAAATTTATCAGTTCCCAATAGCGTAATCTTTTTAAATAGTACGTTGAAATATTAATAGTTCGATTCATTTTTGCTGAAAATCACTTTAGTTCAATTTCAGACAGAAAGTGAATTCCTCGTGATGAATGGAATTCAATTGTCTAATGATACTGGAAGAAGGCACACACGACAAATTCGTAATTTTTACAAATATAATAAAACCGAAAAATTGCCGAGAACAGTTGATTGGAGAAAAAGAGGAAGCGTCACACCGATCAAAGCGCAAGTATGACTTGCTTGTAATTTCTTGCACTTAAATTTATGCTGAATTATTTTTGATAGCAATTATGATAAAATTCAGAACTCCAATTCAATTCTGCTCGAAGTTCGTCAGTGATCATGAATCTGAAGATTCTAAGCTTAAGGCACTTCACCTGCTCGCCCTAACTATAAAATATCATGTATATGCAAAGCTTGTTAAAATTTTTCAAATCAATTGGTCACCCCGGCATATTGGGAGTGTTTAAGTGAAATGCTGAAACATCATTGCATAGCTTTGCTTGTATCGAAGTTTACATTCGAATTTTGATTTGTATCTAAATTATCTTTATTGACAATAAAACTTGACATGATTGATGAAATTAGTAATTAATAATGTAAAATATAAATAATTGAACAGGGTGCATGTGGCAGTTGTTATGCATTCGCCACAGTTGCGGCATTGGAAGCCTATCATAAAAAGAAGACCGGAAGACTTATCGATTTATCACCACAAAATATTGTCGATTGTACATGGAAATACGGTAATAACGGTTGCCGCTCTGGTTTTATGGTTACGGTTAATGTTTTTTCTATGAATTTGCCAAAAATTGTTCACAAATTTTTAATTTTTATTTCAGTTTGGGCGTTTGAGAACGAAATTTATACCAATGTTTGGTTAGTCTAATAAAGCTAAAATTTTACCAAAAGTGCTTATTGATAATGGCTTGCAGTATCGGTTGATGAAAAATGGACAATTTCTCTCTTTAAAGAAATAAAATGAAACGAAGCTAAAATCAATGAATCTTAATTATTTAAAAAGTTTAGGGCTTTAGATATGCCAAATCGTTTGGCATTATGGCAGAGTCAAAATATCCATATGTTTCCGTTGTCAGGAATTGCAAATGGCGACAAAAGTATGCTATTGCCAAAGATAACGGTTATTTTGAAATAGAAGACGGCGACGAATTGGCACTCAAGCATGCTGTTGCTAAGCATGGACCCGTAACTGTTGGAATGTCCGGACATCAACGTGGTTTCCTACTTTATAAATCCGGTGCGCTCTTGAATAATTTAGTTCGAAGGTTCGAAAGTAAAAATTGAACGTATACTTTAAGAAAATGTAGTCACTATCCTTCCAGTATCGATCTCGTATGATATGTATTTCGTTATATTGTAAGATCATTGGATGATCTTAGAAGGACTTCTTGTTTTTAAGGAACTTTCTAAGGACTTAGAAGGACTTAAAACTTAGAAGTTAAAAGTTAAAACATAAAAGGACTTAGAATGACTTTTTTTCTTTTTTTCAGGTATCTATAAAGACAGAAATTGTGGTAGACCAAGTCATGCAGTATTGATTGTCGGTTATGGAAGCCATAAGACTCTCGGAGACTACTGGATTGTTAAAAATAGGTTTGCTTTGATTCATCTACTAAATAATTTCATTCCTTTATTCATTTAAAAAAATATATTAAAACTCCTTTCCTAAAATTTTTCCTTTCAAGTAGCCATCGGCTTACTATCGATTTGAACCGATGCGCTAATTTTAATTTTCGATTTTCAGCTGGGGAACTACCTGGGGAAAGAACGGATATGCTTATGTAGCACGAAATAAAGGGAATATGTGCCATATCGCTTCAATGGCCTCATTTCCTATTTGATACTAATAAAATTCAATTTCGGGAAATATTTAATAAAAATTGGTATATATGCTGAGAAAAATAATTTTACTTGATAAAGGTACATTTGGGATGTTCAAATATACAGCATACAGAAGGGGAATATTTGAATACTGAATTTCTGCTTGAAAATATCTTATTGACACTGCAAGCAAATTATAAAATATTTAGCAATTATCGTTTGAATTCAAATCACCATGATGATAGTAGTAATTTATTTATCCATTGGCCAAACTTTTCATTGCTTTCCTGTTACATCAGTTTTAAAAAATTTTTTAAATTTTTACAGAATTTTCATCAAACTCCTTTTTGATCAGGTAAGGAAACTAAATTACGTCATTAATGACCAAACGGAACTCATATTTGTCAAAAGTGTCGAAATTTCAACCATGTTTTACTTCCCGAGTTTCCACTTCTAATTTCATTTGACTTCTTCTTGTAAAAATAGAATCTATGGGAGTAGCAATGAAAATTTCCTTCTGTCTCTTCAGCTAATTACCGTTTTAACTTTAAACCTCATCATTCACAAACAAATCAAACTATTACCTATCGGAATAAATTCGTTTTTACCGTTTTCAAGCTCAAATGTTAACACATTTTAACTTTGCTGACGAACATATAATAACAAATTTATTACTTTTACAAATATTCAATCGTTTTTCTTATAGTCTGAATAGAAAATGAGCATTTGAACGCTTTGCCAGCTTAAAATCGTTCATTTAAACTAAGAAAATTAAAACTGTTTTACAAAGAGAAGATAAAGATATAATTAGCGCTGTACATTATGGAAGTCATTATCTTCCCTTCTGTAAGAAACCTTTCAAGACAAAGCATTCTCTTCACATTTGGCAGATGCTAAGCTTGAAAATATTTACAGCAAATAATGTAAAGGTGAAATAGAAATATTCACTCATTTCAAATATACTTATTAATTTAAGCAGAGGTCAAATAAATCAGTGACTACTTTAAATGAAAATAAAAATGATAAATGGCAGCAAAAAAGTTGCTGCTGCCATTGCCTTTAATTTCTCCTCAAACATTTTGATGGAAAGCAGTGAAGGTTTGTTCGTCTTCAACGATACAAGACAATCATCAAAAATTATCAATAGCAGTATAGATCACTAACTTGTTGATTCGAGAGAATGTAATTTGAAATTGTCTTTCAGCAATTTAAGTAAGCAAAAAATTTTTTAATATCAACACCATGATAAGTAATTAAATTGATAATATTCGAAATAAGCAATTTTCACGTACAGATTTTTGCAAAATACTTTGATAACTTGAAAATTTTCATCTTGTCTGATAATCATTTCATTTTTTATCTGTCAATAAAGCTGCTGTATTCCTCAATATGGAACTATGACAGATTAAATTCATTCGAATTTGGTATGTGCCGTACTCAATGGATGAGTAGTCTTCAGTGCCTTTTTTCCTCTTTTGACAATCTACACAGTATGTCTGGAAAATATAGGCTTTCCCTCGGAAACTGTATTAGTCGACTGCAATTTGCAGAAAAAGTCGAAGAACAGAGCAAATTACCAGAGAAGTTATCTCTGGCTAATCTTTACTTTATCATTTGCAACTTGGCTGATAATATTGGCAAATGGTATATGTGGAATTTGCATATAATTCATATATATATTTTTTGGCTTTTGGCTTTTTAGCCATAAGACTCTCGGAGATTACTGGATTGTTAGAAACAGGTTTGCTTTGATTCATCTACGAAAGAATTTCATTCCGTCACTTCATTTAATAAAAAATATTGAAACTCCTTTTATATTGAAAAATATAGAAACGAATTTTAGTGCAAAAATAATGAAATGTTACATACATTCATCGTTTATAATATCGCCATTGAGGATCGAAGCATTTATTGTGAAATGCATTGTCTTAAAAATTATGTCTTTGGAAGCAAGAAATGCTATTAACGAGTTCAAACAGTATCGAAGTATCGAAATAAGTTAATATTAACATCTTACTGGTTTCAAATTTAACAACCAAATTGAACATAGGTCCTCGTGCTGAAGTCTTCTCTCCTTTAGTCATTCACAATTTTCAAAATTTGATCACATTGAACTATATTTCTTCTCATTCATTGCAGAAATCATTCCTTCCGATTTTTTCACTCTCAGTTTTTCAATGCGATAGTTTGTTTTGAAATACGAAAGTTATTTTCAGTTACTGTTTTTCCAATACGATCGTTTTGTTTTCAAATTTGGCCATTGGAATGCTTCACTGAACAAACAATTTGTCAAAAAGTTCACGTTTTAAATAAAATTTTCAACGGTGGCATTATATCAGCCGACAATCAAGCTGTATTAATAGCTTTCTTTCACTGAGAATGAATAATACTTCTTCTACTAAAAATGAATAATATTTATTGAGAATAAATAATATTTTCGCAGTGTTCGCAATACACAAACGTCGTGATGCTAAGAACGACAGCGTTAGTGACGGTATTGGCTTTTCTCGTTGCTTCGGTTGCCGCATTCAATACGTGAGTATTCTTCCAGAATCCTTTTTCTCTACTGATAACTTACAAAATATGTCTTGAAAATGTACAGCTTCCTTCGGTGACAACAATTTGCAGAAAAAATTGAAGAACCGAGACAAATTAATCTGGCCAATCCTTCTTTGCCACTTGCAACTTGTTTGATAATATTGTCCGA